TTCCAGTGATGATAAAAGTAGTAATATGCGTAATAATATTGATAATAATGGGAGTAGTAAGGATGATGACAGTTTCAGCGATGATAGTAGTCGTAATATGCTTAATAATATTGATGAGAATAAGAATAATTAGGATAATGATGATAAAAGTAGTAACAGGCGTAATAATATTGGTAAAAATAAGAATAATAAGGATAATGTTAGTAAAAGTGTTTATATATATACAATATATATATAATAAAGTATAGTATATATATAGTATATATATAGTACAGTATAGTATAGTATAGTATTGTATAGTATAGTATAGTATAGTATAGTATGGTATAGTATAGTATAGTATAGTATAGTATAGTATAGTATAGTATAGTATAGTATAGTATAGTATAGTATAGTATAGTATAGTATAGTATAGTATAGTATAGTATAGTATAGTATAGTATAGTATAGTATAGTATAGTAATATTGATAATAATAGGAATAATAAGGATAATGATGATAAAAGTAGGAATATGCGTAATAGTATTGATAATAATAAGAAATATAAAGGATAATGGTGATAAAAGTAGTAATATGCGTAATAATATTGATAATAATAGGAATAATAAGGATAATGTTAGTAAAAGTGTTTATATATATATATATATATATATATAATAAAGTGTAGTAGTATAGTATAGTATAGTATAGTATAGTATAGTATAGTATAGTATAGTATAGTATAGTATAGTATAGTATAGTATAGTATAGTATAGTATAGTATAGTATAGTATAGTATAGTATAGTATAGTATAGTATAGTATAGTATAGTATAGTATAGTATAGTATAGTATAGTATAGTATAGTATAGTATAGTATAGTATAGTATAGTATAGTATAGTATAGTATAGTATAGTATAGTATAGTATAGTATAGTATAGTATAGTATAGTATAGTATAGTATAGTATAGTATAGTATAGTATAGTATAGTATAGTATAGTATAGTATAGTATAGTATAGTATAGTATAGTATAGTATAGTATAGTATAGTATAGTATAGTATAGTATAGTATAGTATAGTATAGTATAGTATAGTATAGTATAGTATAGTATAGTATAGTATAGTATAGTATAGTATAGTATAGTATAGTATAGTATAGTATAGTATAGTATAGTATAGTATAGTATAGTATAGTATAGTATAGTATAGTATAGTATAGTATAGTATAGTATAGTATAGTATAGTATAGTATAGTATAGTATAGTATAGTATAGTATAGTATAGTATAGTATAGTATAGTATAGTATAGTATAGTATAGTATAGTATAGTATAGTATAGTATAGTATAGTATAGTATAGTATAGTATAGTATAGTATAGTATAGTATAGTATAGTATAGTATAGTATAGTATAGTATAGTATAGTATAGTATAGTATAGTATAGTATAGTATAGTATAGTATAGTATAGTATAGTATAGTATAGTATAGTATAGTATAGTATAGTATAGTATAGTATAGTATAGTATAGTATAGTATAGTATAGTATAGTATAGTATAGTATAGTATAGTATAGTATAGTATAGTATAGTATAGTATAGTATAGTATAGTATAGTATAGTATAGTATAGTATAGTATAGTATAGTATAGTATAGTATAGTATAGTATAGTATAGTATAGTATAGTATAGTATAGTATAGTATAGTATAGTATAGTATAGTATAGTATAGTATAGTATAGTATAGTATAGTATAGTATAGTATAGTATAGTATAGTATAGTATAGTATAGTATAGTATAGTATAGTATAGTATAGTATAGTATAGTATAGTATAGTATAGTATAGTATAGTATAGTATAGTATAGTATAGTATAGTATAGTATAGTATAGTATAGTATAGTATAGTATAGTATAGTATAGTATAGTATAGTATAGTATAGTATAGTATAGTATAGTATAGTATAGTATAGTATAGTATAGTATAGTATAGTATAGTATAGTATAGTATAGTATAGTATAGTATAGTATAGTATAGTATAGTATAGTATAGTATAGTATAGTATAGTATAGTATAGTATAGTATAGTATAGTATAGTATAGTATAGTATAGTATAGTATAGTATAGTATAGTATAGTATAGTATAGTATAGTATAGTATAGTATAGTATAGTATAGTATAGTATAGTATAGTATAGTATAGTATAGTATAGTATAGTATAGTATAGTATAGTATAGTATAGTATAGTATAGTATAGTATAGTATAGTATAGTATAGTATAGTATAGTATAGTATAGTATAGTATAGTATAGTATAGTATAGTATAGTATAGTATAGTATAGTATAGTATAGTATAGTATAGTATAGTATAGTATAGTATAGTATAGTATAGTATAGTATAGTATAGTATAGTATAGTATAGTATAGTATAGTATAGTATAGTATAGTATAGTATAGTATAGTATAGTATAGTATAGTATATATAGTATATACAGTATAGTAAAGTATAGTATATATAGTATATACAGTATAGTATAGTATAGTATAGTATAGTATAGTACAGTATAGTATAGTATAGTATAGTATAGTATAGTATAGTATATATACGTATAGTATAGTATAGTATAGTATAGTATAGTATAGTATAGTATAGTATAGTATAGTATAGTATAGTATAGTATAGTATAGTATAGTATAGTATAGTATAGTATAGTATAGAATAAGGATAATGATGATAAAAGTAGTAATATGCGTAATAATATTGATAATAATAGGAATAATAAGGATAATGTTAGTAAAAGTGTTTATATATATATATATATATAATAAAGTATAGTATATATATAGTATATATATATATATAGTATGGTATAGTATACTATAATTATAGTATAGTATAGTATAGTACAGTATAGTATAGTATATATATAGTATGTATATGTAGTATATACTATACTATATATATACCATATATACATACTATGTATATACTATACTATACTATACTATACTATAATTGTTTTATGCATATGTATAATTTTTGAAAAATTATGTAGGATCAGTAAGGTGCCCTCATCAGTCGCCATTGCGTGTACCGGCTAGGTACGGCATTGGCAGCAAGCTGTGACGTAGCTGACGCATGCGCATAAAGCACTCGCGTGAGATAAAATCTCACGACTGCCCAACACTGGGTTAGAGCTATCTGTTGACGAGGATGTGAACTATGTAGGACAAAATTTTTTATTTTGTTTAAAATGAGATGTTCTTACTTATTATTGACGTTAAAAATTATTTGGCGGTTGTAATAAGGTTCTAAAAATGTTTTTTTCTGTAGATTTCAGATTTTATAACTTATAATTTTGGAATTTATATTTTGTGGATCTCAAATGTAGTGGCATCTAACAGTAGAAGAAAGTAACTAGTGACTTTTCAACGTATGGATTAGTAAAATGTTTTAAATAACTGGAAAGGTTTTTGATAGGCATTAGTAAGTCAATTGTGATAAATAATGCACGTACTTGATTTTCAAAGTATGTTCAATCCGTACATTTTTTCGCTAAATAGCTAAGCATTAGAGTAAAAGCTTTAATAAATAAAAATGTGAAATTTTTTTTCATTTGTTTACTTTTTTTGACGAAGGTTAGTAATTACTTTTAATTTAATAAATGTCTTGCAAAGCATACTTATATTTTTTTGCACAATACTTTTACTTTCAGAATTTTTTATATTTAAATTTATAAACAGTCATGGATGTGTCCACGGATGCATTGCAATATAGTATATCACATAAAATAGATGAAGAAAATTTAAGCAACGATGTCTTGATGAAGATAGGGCAGGACCTTGACATTGATGAGATAATGTCTATTTTGTTTTTAATCACAGACAATTATGGTTATAGTTTTAATAATGTGATGTTATTGAGTCAGGATAATAAATCTCAGATGCTTGTTAAATTTGTAAACAATATTAGGGACAATAGGAAAGAAAAATTATTAGAAGCATTATGTATTATACAAAATAAGCAGATTATACGTAAACTTGGAATATTATTTGACGATTTACAACTAATGTATTTACCAAGAAATAGAGTATGTTCAAGACATGTGAATTCAGTTGCAAAATGTTTGTATTTTTTATGTGAAGCACTTACTGAAAATAGAACTGAACATTTAGTAAAATGTGTCAAAAGTGATATGACTGAATATAAAGAAGAATTGAAGGATACAGATTTTCTTGAATTACATATATTCTATTGGTTACAACAAAAATACATTTCAATTGATTTAGGTTTGTTAATTCAATTTAAAATTACAAATATTTTTGTGATTTATATAAGTTATAATTTATGTAGTTATTTATGTTTTTTTTATGTTTTTATGTAATATTTATTTACATTAGATGGTAAAATAAGTCTTAAGAACTTACTTAAACATTTAAAGACGTTCGATGATTTGGAACTTATTTATGAAGACCTTAAGAGGTTTGAAGACAATCAAAATGTTTTGGATGTACAACATGCTGGCACTAGTGCTATTTCTCAATTACAAATGTCTTCTGCTAAAGGAAATGTACATGTGTTATCAACTGTCAAGGAACAAAGTATAAGAAAAGTGAAGACTGGTCTTTGCATTATTATTAGTCAGATGGTTTTTATTGGTCAAAAGGTATAATCAGTTCTATAACTGATTATATAGTACTTTTATTCTATTTTTCTCTTTTTTTTCTTGTGCATTGATGTAACTAGCTAGGGATCAGGGTAGGACTGTTTCTTACCTTTGAAAATATGGACTTTTGCACATAGTGTGGGGAACACAAATGTTGGATATGCTCAAAAGTTTCTAGATATTAAGCGTATGGGCCATTGATCCTATTAGTAAAATTAAGAGGAGTAGCCTACTCTAAACAAAAGTTCTAGTTATATCAATGTTCTCCCTATCTATCTGTATTTCAACTTATCTATTTAGTTATCTCATATGACTGAAGATATTGTGGAAATATTTGTTTTAGTATGAAACACGATTTGGAAACTTAGCCGACTGTATTAAGTTATTAGAAACATTTAAAGGTTTTAGTTTTCGTGTTGAAATATTTCAAAGCTTAAAAAAGGATGAAATGCTTAAAAAGTTGGAAGATATTCCAAAAGATTTCGGGACTGATTATGATTGCATATTTGTATGCATTTTGAGTCATGGCTGTAAAGGTAAAAATATTAAATTTTCTACTTTTTTTTTATAATAGATATTTATACTAATTCATTAATCTTGTAGGTGGTGTTATCACTTCAGATGAGGAAACAGTCAACATTGAAACAATCGAACATAAAATTTGTTGTATAGAATTAGCAGATGTTATTAAAATAGTTATTATACAGGCTTGTCAAGGAGAAGTAGCAGGTAACAGAAAGTTAGACTTCATATTAATATGTAAAGGTCTTAATATGTACCTTTGTATATTTAATCACTTTTTATAACGCCTGATTTTAGGAAAAGTAGATAATGACTTGACTACAGACAGTCCTATGGATGGTATTTCAAACATTTTAGCGTACAAAAACTTTTGCATGTTTATGTCAACAATGCAGAATTTTTTATCAGTGCGTCATAAAACTGAAGGTAACATATAATTTGAAAAATACTACTTATTTTTGACAACAATATGCGAGACATGGTACATTTCAGGTTCTTGGTTCATTCAGGAATTTTGTAATGTTTTACAACAAGGGGGAGGTGAAATGACATTTTTACGTGCAGTTACAAAAACCATAGATTCATTAATGCAAAAGAGAGGAAAATTGAATGGAACAGATTCGGTTGCCCAGTTAGCTGAATTAAGGTCATTCAGATTACTTAACGATTTTCTCTTACCGGAATATCAGGCACCCAGAAAATAAGAAATTAACATTGTAAGTTTTAATTTAAATATTTATTAATATATTGTAGTAACGACATTTATTTGTTAAAATGTAGTTTGTCACGAAATTATTTTATACTATACAGAACAAAGAGAAGAAACTTATACAATAAAATTCCTTGTTAGTAATTATTTTATTTACATTATATTTTTTACATTTTCTTTGTTTGTGAACATTTCTGTTATAACCCGGATGATAAAGAAATAAATAATTTCGGCTACAGACATCAGACTAAATCCGGCAAATAAACCTAAGAGACCACCAAATGTTGCTGAAATAGATATTACTGTTTTTGTTATTTATTATAAATCAGTTACTTATCTTACTAAACTTACGTTACCAAACATATGGCGCCAAGTATTGTATTTATCTCGTCGATATTGAACGGACACTAGATCACCGAAAAATATATGAATCACACTTTGATTTTTCCAAGTATTACCTTTGCTGGAGGAAAAAATTATCTTTCATATAATCTTTTATTTATTCACAGTATACCACAATGTTTTTTTACATATTAAAATTTGCACTACTGTTGAAAGTTTATATAGTTTATATAAAAAGTTTTATTTCAATTTTTTTATATTTACCTGCGATTATTTGTATACGTAAGACCATTGTAATAAATACGTTTGTCAAGATTTCCCACTGAATTTTGTACAAAGTAATTATAAAAATTGCAGTCTGCAGGACAACCGCAAGGTCTGCGATTATCATTTAATTCAGTAAATGATACAATATTAGGCGACATATCTGTTCCCGGCCAAGAAGTATCATACCAATCTGCAAATTTAGTCCCATTGCAGTATATTGGCGAAATTTTAGGAAAAGATTATAAATATGAATAAGATATGCTATTACAATTATAAGCTTACATTTATACGTTTCTAAGCATTCAATATCTTTTAAATTGCATATTCTGGCATCTAAAATAGAAGGTTATTTTATCAAAGGGTTAACAAACAGTTTTCATTCATGCAATTATTCTAATATGTATTTTAATAAGTATCTATTGAATTAATTTTTTTTCTAGTGCATGTCAAAGTGAACTAACTGCTTTGCGGATAATAGTATGGAATACATCCACATTTCATATTAATTACATTAGCTCGGCATTCTACCAAGCAATTTATAAGTGAATATCTTGCTGGAATGAAATATTTTTCTTTATCAATATGGTCTAATGCAGCTGGTTCGTCGTTAAATATGCAACCTCTTGAAGACATCTTTCTAACGTTATTCGTGGAATACGTTTCGCCTGGCTGAACAATTAGAAATGAATACGTATTAACCGGTATTATTGAGTTTGCTGCATTATCGTCCGGATAATCAAAAGGACTGTGTAGTAATATCTGCAAACAATAAATAAGGTGTGAAACTATTTTTATATCGTTGACGTAACCAGAAATTTTGTCTAAGGTACAGCCAGGTTCTTTAACCTTAATACAAATGTCAATTATAATTTCTATGTCTATAAAAAGAACATTATTGTATGTTTTATATTTACAATAGACTCTCGTTATATGGCTCTTAGGGGGTTGCAGAAGCAGAAAAAATTAAAAAAGCATCATTTAAGTAGTTGATAGTATTCCTACAATATAAACAGGAGCCACATAGCGAAGCTATTATGGTAATTGCATTACATATTACACCCAATTTAAATATTTATGCATGTATTTTGGGGTCTCTCTAGCCTGCTTTTGGTCTTTACCAAGTACATTAATGTTTTATAATTTAAAATATCATATTGTTTTTATTTGTGCAAAATCTTTCAACACTTTTCCCATCTAAATTATTTTATAGTATGATGTAAAGAAGGGAAATTTGTTGCCATATTTTGCAAATATGTGGAAGCAATTATCATCGTAACTAGGTTATATAATTTTTATATGTTTGTTATATGTTGTACTTCGATTTACTCTTTTGCACTTTTCATAGTCACTAATAGTACAATTTATTGTAAATGAAAATGATTTTAAAGGTTGTTCTTTGAACACTAGAAAATCTTTTTGTTCGCTTACTAAATCAGTAATTACTAGTTCTATTTACTGTAATTGTATTAATTGTAAAGTGTGAGAGAGTTATTTTTTTTAGTTTTTGAGGATAAAGAAAATAAGTAGTTACCTTAGTTCCTATAGATTCGACGATGCTAGAGTGGTAATCTTCTGGGTCTAAATTTAATAAAAAGTTTAGTCCACTTTGATAACCGCATGAGGTCATTCTAAAGAGTTCCATGCTTGAAATTGAATGCAAATGAAAGAGAAAAACAATAAATAATAAACTTTTAATTTTAATTTATACAATAATATTTGATTTCCAAGAGTGTACTAAATTATAATTTATAAACTTTATAGAACAGCAAAGGAGCTGTAAAATCCTTGAGACAAGATGTGGATTTTATATTTTTACACTGTTATATTAGAAATTCAATGACAGAATGATAACATTTTTACTATCAGAAAGAGTAAAAATTTTAATTGCTAGATATATGTCGAATATCACTATTTAAAAAAGTGAATTTACTACACTCTGGCTTTGGGGTTCAGATGTGTAAACACACTGAATCACGAAAGTAGTCGAACTTTAAAGCACATAACATGTACAAATAATATTCGTCCAAAAAATATGTATTAAAATACATGGTATGCCAAATAATATATAATATACTAAATCATTTAAGGAGTGCTATAGAAGTTACAAAATATTAATTATAAAGATACATATGTGATGTTCTATAACGCTGGTGATATAAAATCTTGTTAAATTTTGTAAAAATTTAATTAGACTAAGAATTTCGTATTAATAAAATTTGTACTAGTAAAAAGCTAATTTAGACAGTATCCCTGTTAATTATTTCATATGATTGCCGTTGATTTAAATACTTTTTTACTGTTCAACTACTTCCACAAAATCGTGTATGATACAAGTGTAAATGTACTTTGGTTCTTCAAGGAATTTTTCCCGGGTGATATAATTGAAACTACAACACATTCCATAACGTGTAAAGCTTGGTTGAAATATCATGTTACAGTCGTGTTCTTCAGCCTTCCATTTACAAGCTTCAAGTAAAGTGTTGCAATCTCTTGTCACCTAAAATGGAATACTATTTTAATTATCAGTTCCATTGACTTTATTTTAAATGAATTAAAAATGAATAAAAAATAGTTATAATGTAGAAAAAGGGAATCCTAATCTCGAACGTACTAAATTAATGACTGTAGGAATCGAGAGATTATTCATATCGAAGATGCCTTGTAATCGTGAAAGATTACTGCGGATGTTGAATTCGTGTCCCCCAGGGTACAGTAATTCGTTCAATAAACTCATTTCCTGGACGACGAATGCCTTCGACACAGACGGTGGAAGTTTTCTGAGTATGGTTAAGTTAAACAAATACATTAAAGAATAATAAAAACAACAATACTTACCAATATTAACGTCTTAGACTTTTAGATATCTAGATTTTTAGATTGCATGATTTCTAGTTTTCTAGATTTCTAGATTTCTAGGTTTCTATATTTCTAGATTTTTAGATTTCTGTCTTCAGCCTTCCATTTACAAGCTTCAAGTAAAGTGTTGCAATCTCTTGTCACCTAAAATGGAATACTATTTTAATTATCAGTTCCATTGACTTTATTTTAAATGAATTAAAAATGAATAAAAAATAGTTATAATGTAGAAAAAGGGAATCCTAATCTCGAACGTACTAAATTAATGACTGTAGGAATCGAGAGATTATTCATATCGAAGATGCCTTGTAATCGTGAAAGATTACTGCGGATGTTGAATTCGTGTCCCCCAGGGTACAGTAATTCGTTCAATAAACTCATTTCCTGGACGACGAATGCCTTCGACACAGACGGTGGAAGTTTTCTGAGTATGGTTAAGTTAAACAAATACATTAAAGAATAATAAAAACAACAATACTTACCAATATTAACGTCTTAGACTTTTAGATATCTAGATTTTTAGATTGCATGATTTCTAGTTTTCTAGATTTCTAGATTTCTAGGTTTCTATATTTCTAGTTTTTTAGGTTTCTAGATTTCTAGATTTCTAGATTTCTAGTTTTCTAGGTTTCTAAGTTTCTATATTTCTAGATTTTTAGATTTCTAGATTTCTAGATTTCTAGACATCTAGATCCCTAGATTTCTAGATTTTTAAGCTTTTGTATTTTTTGATCTATACATACCTATATTTCTAGATACGTAGATTTTTATCTCCTTGTATCCCTAAATCTACAGATTCCTATATCTCTATATTCCTAGATCTTCAAAACCCCACTTCCCTAATCTACAATCTTTTCATCTCTATATTTCCAAATCACTACATTTTCAATTCTCTATATCTTTACATACACCCCAGATCTATTTATTTCTAATTTTCTAGTTCCTTATATCTCTAACTCTCCACACTTTTATACCTCTACACCTATAGTTATCATTTCAAAAATACCTTATTATTTATCATTTACTGTTAATTATAAGACAGTGTTGCAAGTAGTAAACGAGGTATTAAGAAATATATTGTACATGTATAAAAAGATAAAAGACTTACAATTTTTCTACTAATTGTCGCGTTAATTTGAGAGACACGCGATTAAAGTCACACACTGTCACCGCCGGAAATGGATAATTCCATATACCACGATGAGTCGACTCGATCACAGAGAGGGTAGTATAGTCCGCGTAACGATCGTAAGTGAATTTCATTATTACAATTGCGATAACTAGTGATGCAAGCACCGTTATCGCCCACGCAATTCTGTTAAAACGAATATCAAATGAGTGTCCTTCGTGATTATCGGGGTGCGATTTAATTGGAACGAGTATAGGCATTCGCAAAGGGGTGAGTATCATAAATTATATTCCTTTAATGATGTCTGTCTGTGTTGGACATTATGCGAATAACAAATAAAATTGAACAAAAAAAAAAAAAAATAAAAATTTTAAAAGATTTTGAATTTATTTAATTTATTTTATATTTATGTTATAGTAACTTTTATTAGAATAATCATGTACTAGGTTAAAATTGTCAAGTAGTAAATTTTAATTTAAAATGTAATGAATGAAATTATTTATTATTATTAGAAGAATAACACAGATGTCTACTTGTTATACATATGACAAATAATTCATGTAACTATATTTAACAATATACGACAAATATGTACAAATAATTCATGTAACTAATAAACTTAAATGTATTTGACAATCGTAATAATTTTGTATTACTATCTAGTATTTTTTACTCATATTTCGAAGTGAACCTTTGAATATTTCATACAATTTATATTTCACTTATAGATGGATTTATAAGTATTTCTGTGGTTGTATGATTTGGAAGTATGTAAATAGTTTTTTTTTTAATTTTAATTTACTATAGCTATGGTATTTAGAAGTCAATTTAATGATTTACCTCTCTGCCATAGAACGATGAGTTTCAGCAATATATTTATAACCATGAAGTCCAGTATCACGACAAAATTGTAAAGTTTGTTTTTTCAAAATGGTCCCACATTTTCGTAATATTCTTCGAGTGATCCAGCCGCAACTTTTTTGTTGTGTAGTTACCATAATTTGACCTTGATTTTTTAGTTGGATTATCAAATTCTCAAATATATTCTATGACTTTTTACTATATAGATGTACACAATTTTATCACGCCAATGTGCAATTTTATAAAATATTTGTTTAATGAAATTTTTCAGAAGTAATTTCCAATTAGCTCAGAGTATAAAAATATTCCGAATTTATAAAAAAACAAGAATTCAAAAGCTTCGAAAATTAAAAAAATTCGATAAATTCCACACGGGTAGCAAATTCGAGAATACCGACAGACCTACCTTAATTCTAATCGATCTAATTTCGACAACACCTCACAAATCAACGAAATAGTCCAAGTTTTAATAAAAACAATTCACACGTTGCACTGTCGGAACACGACTGAACAAAATGCAACTTCACGCGAGGATATGTTATTTAAGAATGTGCAGCAGTAGTCATGCGATGTTGCATCAAAAATTCATTCGTTCATCCGGCGATTATTGCCCGATAAGTTCAGATACACGATACACATTTTCCATCCAATGTCTAGGAATGGTGTTCACAGTAAGTATACCCTGTTCAATTATTAACACCTCATAATTTTTTCAACAGTGCTGCGCAATAACTCCGTAGAAAAAAAATCTACGATCGAAGGCTGCAATTTGACACGTGGAACTTGATGGTGCTTGTCGTGTTACGATCGCTTCCTTGTTGAAACTTATTATTAATTTAATGAAAATTCTTGTGTATTTACAGCTTGATCTTTGCCGTTGATAAATCTCACCGTTGCATTTCTGCGGGTATCAATTTGAAATCTCTACTGGAAATAGTACTCGCTTGGAACGAGCTTACACTTCCTTGTACTATGTTGCAAATATTTTACTCCACTTTGCGAAACATATTACATATTTTACTGTTACAGTGATGGGAAATACTTCTTTCTGTTTATTATACTTTTCAGATTTTTATTACAATGTTATTAATTTGTAATGATCTCAATTTTTTTTTTTAAGAAATATTTAATGCAGAGGAAATTAGTTTAGGTTTTTGTTGTCGCTCCTGAGGGATGAAGTACAAGAAACGTCAATAATGTCAACGTACGAAGTTTACTGAAACAAAATGGACGACGTGACGACCATTTTTACCACAGAATTGCAATAAAATTTATAAATAAAAGTACATACAATGGTGGACAAAATAAAATTTAAAATAACCAGCTGCATATATGTAGTTTTTACAAAGACATTTTATGTTACATTGATAATAGTAATTTTATTCGAAGGTTTTAGACTGTCCAGCCTATATATTTTTTTATTTATTCCCCTACATTTCCACGATACGATTTTGTGAAATAATGGTGATTTCTCAAATCCTGTATATTTTAAACATTTTTTTCTGCAGCATGTAATAAACTTGGAGGACTTGTCCGCAGTGCGAAATGAAAGCGTGTTCATTCGTCGCACAGGGACACTCCATTCGGTATGGCAGGCAGGGTGAAGGATATTGGAAGTGAAATGCCTCGACCACGAGTGTACACTCGAGGCTACGAGTAGAAAGAGTCCGCGAGTAGTCGGCCGAGTGACTCGGTTCCTCGGATATTAAACTCTGAAGATGCCGCACTTCGCCGCGGCATCTGACTCAGCGAGTGTCATTAATAACTTGGAGGAGATAGATAAAGTGCTAAACACCGTGAGCCGTGTGCTCGAGCACACGTCATTACCCTGACTATCACGGCTCGATTAAGGGTTCCTAATGCACCGACCTTGTCGAGGTTGATTCGACGTTCTAAAAGAACCTTTTGCATTTTATAACGATACCCCTTCGTTCGCTCTATGTACATTCGCGAACACCTAGAGAGCGAGTTTCTCTAGAGAAACCGACGACGTAGATAGATTCGTTAAATTTACATGTATTCGCGATTTTTTGGGAATTTTAATATTTGGAAGGTTCGAGGTTTGGGAAGTTGGGAGTTTTTAAATTTGCAGATTTGGAGGTTTGGGAATTTTGGGGGTTGGGGGTTGAGGAGGTGGGAGTTCGGAATTTGGTGGGTTTGGAGATTTTGGGTGCTGGGGGTTGGGGAGTTGGGATTTTAGAATATGGTGGATTTGGTGGATTTAGGGATTTAGGGATTTGGGGATTTGGTAATTTGATAATTTAGGGATTTGGCAACTTCAGAATTTGGGGGTTTGGTAATTTGGGAATTTAGAGATTTGGAAACTTGAGCATTTGAGGGTTTGGTAATTTCAGAATGTAGGAATGTGGGAGCTTCAGAATTTGGGGATTAGGCAATTTAGGAATTTAGAGATTTGGGAATTTGAAAATTTGGGGGGTTGGTAATTTCAGAATGTAGGAATTTGGAAACTTGGGAATACAGGAATTTGAGAATTTAGAAAATTTGGAGGTTTGAGAATATGGAGTTATGGAGGTATAGGGATATGAGGGTGCAGAGTTATGGGGATAGAGGGATATAGGGATATCCCTGGGAATACAAGTTTGAAGACTTGGAACTTGCAACTTCGGAATTTGGTAATTTAGAAATTTAAA